CAAGCCCAACTGATCTTGGAGGTTTGGGCCCAACAAGCCTTGCTTCTCGTGCCAAGGCTTGTTTAACCGCGGGATCTACATTGCCCGGACCTTTTGCTGTTTCCGTTGCCGTCGCCAAGTGCAGCTGATCTTTTGAGGTGATCCGTGAGGCTCTTGCTCAACTCACCGTCTGTCAGGCTCCCTTTATGTTTGACCCGCCGAGCAATCACGTCACATGCCAGGCGCCAGGATCCACTGCGACGTGCAGATCTTCTCGCGGTGCGGCCCTTTGGAGTTTTTTTTTTTTTTTTTTTCACATTTTGTTTGGCCGCTTGCAAGGTGGATCCACAATTCGTTCTACAGGACTCCTGTGCAGGTTGCGCGGCGTTTTCATGGTCTGGTCCAATTTGCCAAGTTGACCTGGTGAGGCCACGTGGATCTTCCTGTGTTTGTGGGTCTCTAGGGTCCCTAGGGTCCCTGGGGTCCCTGAAGGTTCCCTAGCGTTCTTGACGCAAGCATCCGTCAATCTGAAGCGTCGTTGGAAACCCTGCGGACCCCAGGGGACGCCAGGGACCCTAGGGACCCTAGGGACCTTAGGGACCCGGGGACACCCTGTGGTACCTGGGGTGACAAGGTGGGGTGCAACGAACATTCCTGCGGTCAATTGCAGGTTTTTTGCTGGAAGCGACTTGTGAAGTGGTTTTTGATCATGTATCGGTTTCAGTAGATACAGATCTATTTATTTGTGTACATTCATAGATTTATCAATTTATAGATCTTTATATTATTATATTTCTAGATTTGTAGATCTATACATTCATAGATTTTTAGATTTGTAGATTTATCAATTTATAGATCGATTTTTGATTATATTTCTAGATTTGTAGATCTATACATTCATATATTTTTCGATTTGTAGATTTATCAATTTATAGATCTTTATATTATTATATTTCTAGATTTGTAGATCTATACATTCATAGATTTTTAGATTTGTAGATTTATCAATTTATAGATCTTTACATTATTATATTTCTAGATTTGTAGATCTATACATTCATACATTTTTAGATTTGTAGATTTATCAATTTATAGATCTTTACATTATTAGATTTCTAGATTTGTAGATCTATACATTCATACATGTTTAGATTTGTAGATTTATCCTTTTTATAGATCTGTACATTATTAGATTTCTAGATTTGCAGATTTTTAGACTGATAGTCTACGTTGCTTTGGTTTGCGTAGCAGAACGACTTTGTTCAATGGAGGTTCAAGGCACGCCACTTCCCAGAGGCTCCCCCCTTCCAAGACCTGCGGAGTCCCCGGGGTCCCTAGGGTCCCTAGGGTCCCTAGGGTCCCTGGTCCCCTGACCCGGATTTAACACCCCCCCAAAGGTACCCAGGGTTTTCAGAGGGACCAGGGACCCTAGGGACCCCAGGGACCCCAAGCACGCTCGTGCGGATTTGTTTGAGGGGGGCCCACCAAGAACCCCCAGGGACCCCACAAACCCCAGGGTCTCCAGGGACCTTGGCTGCTTCAGATACTGCCCACCGCAAATCCGAGAAAATCCAGGGACCCCAGGGACCCCAGGGACGCCAGGGACCCCAGGGACCCCAGGGACCCCAGGGACCCCAGGGACCCCAGGGACCCCAGGACCCTAGGGACCCCAGGGACCCCAGGGTTCCAGCAGCAGCATGTGCACATGTGACTTTCGGAGGAGTTGGTCAGAATTTGGCAGACGAGTTGATCAGACTTTGGATGTGAGGGCTTGCGAAGCTGAGTTTGGCTGAAATCTGAAAGTTGCTTGTGGATCTTGTTGCTATGTCCTTCAATGCAGTTGCGGGCTATCTCGGCGACCTTGCCCGCGGCAAGCGGAGGGTGACTGCGAGCCGGCCAAGTCTGACTGGGAAGACTTGCAGGCCGCCGTCTTGGCCGGTGACACAAAGGCCCTGCAGGTGGCCGACGCAGTGATGGCGCAGGCCAAGAGCCGCACTGACGCCGAGCGCATGGAGGCGTTGGAACGCCTCCTGCAGGAGGAGTCCGTGGAGGACTGGCGGAGCCTGCAGCTTGGCGCTCCGCGTGCAGCCATGCCTGCCTCTGACAGCGTCTCATCCAGGGACTCCAGGAACCTCAGGGACCCCAGCAACGCCAGGCGCCCCAGAAACCTCAAAACTTTCAGAGACCCCTGAAACCCCCGCCCTCCAGGGCACGACAGCTTGTGACTTCCGCGGTGCCGATTTCGGTTGCCTGTTTTGCAGGCAGGCCAGTTTGGTATCTCGCTTGGACTTTGATGCAGCGGCAGGATGTGGGTCAGCCAGTCTGACGGATGGACGCTGCGAAGCCTTGCAAGGCTTGGCCCGACCGACCTTCAGGCCGCGAGTGAAAAGGCGGAGGAGCATCCAAACCCGTGCGTTGGTGTTGCCAAAGAAGCCAGTCAATCTTGTGTTTGCTCTGGAAACTTGGCTCGAGGGTACTCATCAACACTGACACAACAACAGCTCGCAATGGTTGCCCGATGGGTCTAGTGCCAGTGCTTGAGGAATCGCAGGCCGCTCAAGCGCTTTTCGAATAGCCATGGCGATGATGCGGACCAGGACCAAAAGCCGAGGCTGGCAAGCTTGTGACGCTACCGTGCCCGCGGTAGGCAGCGGCCAGGTATGTGCCTCTGCCTTCTCGGGATTGCATTGGCGCTGCTCGTGCAGCCGAGCACGGCCTGGGTCTTGGGACACATTTTTTTCGAAGGTTTTCGGGTTTCAGGAGTCCCTTGTCGCCGCCGCCCAGGACTTTGCTCGAGGAGTTCCTGGGCTGAAGGAGCATGAAGTCCCTCCTTTGCATGTTCTTGTTTCGTGCTGAGTGCCAGGACAGCATATTGGCCCAGTTCTCAGAGTTGCCCGCAGGCGCAAGCAGATTGCACTTTGGCTCTTTCAGGTGGCAAAACGGCACCCGTTGCATGCCGGAGTCGCTCGGCGCGCCGGGGCTGCGCAAGAGGACTCCTCCGACCCGAAGCCAGTTCGCATCTTTTGCCGGCTGCCGCCAGGACCGGGGACACGCTCTTCTTCCATGAAGGATGCCAGCCATGTAAAAATCAGCAGTGTCCGCCTCCATGCGAAGTTCACAATGCTCTTGAAGTGTATTGGCAGACCCTTACCTTTTGACCCCCGGCGGCGAGATAGCATAGTTGATCTTTGTGACTGTACAGGCAATTTGAGGCATTCGGGGAGCGAAAGGAGCTTTGAGTGTCAGTCCAGTGCAAGGGCATCGGCAAGGTGGCGTCTTTGACGGCTCCAGCAGCGCCAGCGGCAACCAGAGTGCTAGTAAACAAGCCGCGTAGGGTCGTGAACACGCGGACCAACATAACACGAAGCAGCAAGGACATGTTGGCACGCAAGAAGTCGTCCGCCGCCCAAGAGTGCTCATCAAATGCTTGAAGGCACTGGGCAAACATTGCCGACGTATCCAGCGGTAGGATTGGCCTTGCAGGCCCGTGAAGTTCAGGAATGGCCATGGCTGTGATGAGGGCCAGGATAAAAAGCCAAGGCCCGCAAGCTGATATGCTGCGCTGTTTGTGGTGTGGTTTTGCAAGGTGCGTGCCTCAGCCTGGGAATGCGCTGGCGTTGCTCATTGCAGTGGCCGAGCACGGCCTGGGTCTTGGGAACGTTGAGGGGTTGGCAGCTGACTCGTTCGGGCTTCAGGAGTCCCTGTCCGCCGCCCACGAGTTTTCGCGAGGAGTTCCCGGTCGGAAGGACCGTGAAGTCCCTCTTTGCGAATGTTCCTGCTTGTGCTGTGATGCGAGGACCGCAACGGCGCACCGGCCCAATCTTCAGACTTGTCCACTAACGCAAGCAGATTGACCCTTTTCGCATCCTGCGAGCTTAGTGAGGCTTCGAGCCAGCGCTGGTTGCATGCTGGAGTCGCCTTGCGTGCCAGGGCTGCACGAGAGGACCTTCGGACCCAAAGCTTGCAAGTTTGGACGATTGCAGTTGCGAGGACAACAATGCCGAGGCCTGGGGGACATGTGCATCAGAACGCTGGGCTTCTTGGCTGCCAGGACCGGCTCGATCTCGAGGAGGCGGCGGGCCTTCACCCGTTGCATGCCGGAGTCGCTCGGCGCGCCGGGGCTGCGCAAGAGGACTCCTCCGACCCGAAGCCTGTTCGCATCTTTTGCCGGTTGCCGCCAGGACAACAGTGCCGAGGCCGGGGACACGTGCATCAGGCTTGAACGCTGGGCTTGTTGGTTGTCAGGACCGGCGCGATCTCGAGGAGGCGGCGGACCTTCAGAGAAAGCGACGTCCCAGCTTGGCCTCGCTCAGGTGGTCGCAGAAGCCGACAGGGTGCTGGAGGACAACGGCACGGTGAAAGAGACCAAAGCCGTTTTGCGCCGCTGGAGCAGCACGTTGGTCGGGGTTGCAAGAGCGGCGAAAGTGTTGAGCTCAGGAAAAGCGCAGAAGATATATCCAGAAGAGATGCCAGTGAAGCGCAGAATTCCCAAAGCAGAGGATCCCGCCGTCTTCACCACCGACGTGTTCATCCCCTTGGATGAAACCATTCGCAAGCTGGATGTTTTGTTGCAAGATGAGAGGGTGGTCTTTCTACGTGCTGGTGTGGCAAGCGGCAAGTCTACATTGGCGCAGCATTTGTGTATCACACAGCCGTCCAAGTATTTTGGAGTCCATGCCCCACTTGCAAAGGATGCAACCATTTTTGAGATGTGGGAGAGAAAGATGAGGGCAGCTGTTTGGGGACAAAACTCGAATGTGAAAGACAAAGACTTGCAAGATATGATAAGATTGATCTATGACAATGACCAAGTCCTGGTTTTCGATGAATGCCACTTGCTCTTTGCTTGCCCCGAGTTCCACGAGCAGTTCCTGAAAAAGCCCTCGTATCTGAAAAGGCGTCCAATGGTTCTGCTCTTATCTGCAGCGTCTGAAGGAACAGATCAGCAAGGACGGACCTACTTAACACCAGCGGCAGTTACTGCAAAGTACATGTGGACTCCCCCAATCCCACATGCCAATGAACTTGTTGATCAACTTGCTGAGGCTGATGTCTATTTGTCCCAGGATGCGGTTGCTTTCTTCATGGACTTTTGTGCTGGACACAGAAGTCTATTCATAAGAAGCATGGAATGGGTGCAGCAGAAGCAAAGCGGGGACAGCACTCGCTGGGATTTGACTCGCGCACAAGGCGAAGTCAGTCAGGCATGGGACACAGACAATTGGACAGAAACCCCAGATGACAGCTTGATGGGGAAGCTTCAGACTGTTCGCGCCATTCGTGTCAACGGAGCTTTTTCAGACCCGCAGAGCATACCGCAACAATTTGTGGACATCTTGTGCGAGGGTCCAACTGCTGGTATGGACGCGAATCTCCGGCGCAAGCTCACTTTAGTTGGTTTCACGCTTCCTGTTGTGCCAGCGACTGACAGAATTCCAGAGGAGTTTACGCCATTGGATTGGGCAAAGCTCGGGACAAAATATGGCGTCGCCAATTACATGATGGCTTCCTACTATCGCCAAGCGCTTGCGAAGAAGCGGCAGCTGACAGTGGATGTGGACAGAAGCCCAACTTCTTGCACAGATTTGCTCTTGCGAGCGCTGCCATACTTGCTTTTTGCAGATGTGGTGGCCATCCAAGGGGACAAGTTCGGAATTCGTTCTGATGTTTCGCAAGAAGAGCTCCCATTTGAGGTTCACTACACCCATGCCGCAGTTCGGGAGTTGAAGCGCTTGGTTGGTAGTACAAATAGTTTGGAGAGCACAAAAAAGGGGAAGGTTGACATCTATACTACGTTGGAGGACGGTTCAACTTTCGCCATTGAAGCGGTCATGTCTTCTCGGGGAGCAACCAGCATTGCTAAGCATCGAGATCGCTTTGAAAGCGCGTCGATGACAAACTATGCACATGCACAGTACAAGTGCTTGCTGATCATTGGCAAATGTGGAGACATGAGAGAGATTGTGGGAAAAGTGCGGGACGGTATAGAAGTGGTCGGACTTGCGCCCAATCCATCGCACACCGGCTACTATGTCTACGTCAAGCGGCAAGGTGAGAAAGTTGTTGACTTCCACATCCCATGCGATGGAGTTGCAAGAGGGTTCTCCTGGAAGGATGAAGAACCATTCTTTGAGATCAGTTCTGCCCAGAAATTCAAGTACATTGAGCCAGGCTGGATTTTTTTGAACATTCAAACTCAGCATTGTTTTTTGGCTTCGAAAGATGTCAGAACGTGGAGTGCGAAACTCGACCAGTTTTCCGGGCCAGTGGAAAGCAACAAACGCACTTCTCACGTTGCGCGCTCAGATTGCCGCCTGCAAGGCAGTGCCGCCCCGCAACGACCCCCAGCAGTGTGGGTCTGTCAGCTGGGAAGCCCTGCCTGGACCTTACCAGCAGCTGTGAGCAGTTTTGCCCTGCATTCACGTTCTGAAAACAGCTGTCGACTTCCTTCTCAGAAGAGCTCTCAAATTGTCGCCTAGCTCCAAAATCAAAGGCGTTTGTGGAGCCATCGGTTAAACGGATGGATGTGAACTGGATTGCAGTGCTTGTGCCTTGCAAGGACGGCAAGGACTTCAAGGTCATTGGCAACCCCTTTCAAGTTAAGGGAGTTTTGGCAAACGCAGCGGCCTTAGCTGCGCCACTTTACGAAGGATCACCTCAGCTTTGTTTCGCCGTCGCAAATGCTGCTTGACGCTCCGCGGGGATGTCAGGTGGATGATCTCAAAGAAGCCGTGCGCTCGGAAGCGAGTTGCATTCTACCTTTTGCTTGACTGTACATGGTAATTCGCAACTCTTCCAACTCTATTCACTTCTGATTGCTTCAGGGGATAAAGAACAAGGCGGAGCTCTCAATTCCATCGTTCAAAATGGATATTTACAGCAAAGAGGAGAGCTTTGCATGTCAAAGCGCATCCCCATTCGTTCCATTCCCCCCACACCTCACCCCCTTGCCGTCTCTCAGCTGGACTTTGCAGGACGGCGGCTGGGTTAAATCAGATGAAGAATCAGAAGTCGACCGTGGCAAATCCAAGCCCAGCGCTTGGTTCCGATGCCTTACAATTTTGGGTTGTGCTGTCGCCCAGCTGTCAGGGCAGACTGCTATGGATTCACGATTCCAGCTGGAGCTGCTGGAGCCGCATAGTTTGAGGCACCTCAGCAACCCAGCAGTGTTCCACACGTGCGAACTTGCATCGTTGCCAGGCTACTGCTGGCTGTGGTCACTGTTCTCGGCTGAGGCAATGCTGGCGCACAACGTTTCACCTCGTACAGTGACAAAAGCATGCGTTCGCAGGCACAGTTGTTTCGTTGCAGTGCGACTTTGCTTGACTCCTGAAGGGTAAGGCAGGCAACTGGTCACACTTTTGAACATCAGGCAACGGTGTTCAAGTCAAGCAGGGAATGCCTGCAACGGGTACAGGACCAGCAACAGTTGCCGGCGCTGGTCAACAGCTGTTTCACTGCGGCGTTCCTCCCTGTGCCAAAGCGCGCGGATGCAGTACCAAGCCGTTTGAAGAAGTGCGGGGGAAAGAATTGCTCTCGTGGCTTGCCAGTTTGATCTTTTTGAGCCAAGTTGTGCACAGGTGTTTGATGCTATTTGTTGAAGGTGGCGATCAGGGAAGTTGAGCAGCAGTGGACAAGAAATCACGCCGACCAGCGCCAGTGCTAATGAGCATCATTGCAGAATGCGGGCCAACAGCATGGGAGAAACGCATGGAGCGGCAATGTCAGTACTTCCAGGAATCGCGGTAGCATGTCATGAAGCGCCAATGGCTGAAGCTGGTGTTTTTTCTGCCGACTGTGCGCCATTTCACCAGCCGAGTTCTCTCCCGGCTTTCTCGGGGCAAGCAGTTGGTCAACAAGCTCTCGCAGGTGAATGGCGGATGGGGCTTTTGAGCAAGTATCCAGCGAACAAATGGGGAGCAAGTCCACGCATTGTTCTTTATTGGACGCAAATCTAAAACTGCACTTCTGTCCCCGCTGCGCACAGATTCCAGGGCGTTGGGAACAAGCTGATCTTCCCCATGGCCACGGCTTGCTTTTTTTTAGCGCATCCCAAACCCTGAGTCTTGACGCGCAGGTGGCAGCAGTAGATTAGGCGGTAGGCCAGCTTCGCCCGCGTTTCGGGCTGCCAGGGCTCGTCCCCTTCGATCACCCAGCAAGGCCTCGGCTTGCAGCAGCGCAGCCAGCAGCTGTCCATTTGCCGCAGCCTGCCCCAGATTGTGGGCAGCCATTGTGGCGAAAACTTGCTTCCGCAAAAAAGAAGGTCCTTTTTTCAACAACAAAATCCGGTTTTGTAATTTTTATACGGGCTCGGAATTTGTAGGGAGTTCCCCGATTTTAGAAAAGCCAGCAAAAGGCACCGACAGCGACCAGTACTTGCTGCAACTCTGCGGACATCAGGAAAAGAATGTCCCACGCCGTTTTGAACAGTGTCCGCGGTCAACCCCTGTCTATCGAACTCTGCATAGATGGTGGAGGCATCTGAGGCACCCCAAGTTAAGCAATGAGCTGCCAGAAACGCTGCCAGAGCTGCCGCAGTCCGACCAGGCGATGAACTTCTTCCTGCATGCCGAAGCTTGCCTCGAACTGCCGCAGCCAGGCGATGAACAAGCAGAAACGCTTCCAGAGCCGCTGCAGGCCCATCCCAGACAGGCAATGAACAAGGGAAATCTGCCGACCCCAAAGGCAGGATTGCGCCCTCAGGGGCTGTGGTCGCATTCTGGGAAAGGGCCGGACGCAGCCACAGAGGCTGGAGCAATTCCGGGCTGCTGCGAGTACAGGCCGCGACAGGGTCCATTGGGATCAGAATCGCCGCGTGGGGAAGAGCTTAATCCTCCCCATGCCTTTGCCTTATGGGCGCATCCCATTCCCTAAGGCCAACCGCTGCCCGGCGGAAGCAACACTCCAACGACCGAAGCGCGAGCCCAACCCAGCCAAGCTGTGGGCCGGAGCACCCAGCCCGGGCACTCTGAGCGCCTTCTGCGGGGGCTGGTGCGGGTGGGCTTGACGGCGCGGGCGGGCTGCGCCAGAACATTCTTTTCACAGCGCTGCCGGGACCTCAGCCGCAACACAGGTGGCCGCAGTGAGCGCTGCACACCTGCCGGCCGACGCCTCAACGCAGCCCTGAGGGGCGTCTGCGGCTGCTTTGGCGCTGCGGGGACGCTCGGGCGACTGCCAAGAAACAACCAGCCGACGCAGAAACGCAGCTAGGGACCGTGTGCGGCTGCTTTGGCGCTGCGGTAACGCTCGGGCGACTGCCAAGAAACAACCGGCCGACGCAGAAACGCAGCTAGGGACCGTGTGCGGCTGCTTTGGTGCTGCGGGGACGCACGGGCGACTGCCAAGAAAAAACCGACCGACGCAGAAACGCAGCTAGGGACCGTGTGCGGCTGCCTTGGCGCGCGCGGGCGACTGCCGCAAAACAGCCGAGCTTAGAAACTCAGCCGTCTGCAGCTGCTTCTGGGCTGCGGACGACTGCCAAGAAGCTGGCCGACGCCTCAACGAGGGGCGTCTGAACGCCAGGAGCAACTGCCGCGAAGCTGCTGCCAACGCCCCACGGACGCTTGCGGCTGCTGCGGAGCTGCGGAGCACAAGAGGCCGAATGTTAACAAACCTACTAGCGGTTCAAATTTTGGCTCCATGAAACCAGATGACTACTGAGACACAAAAGAGGCAAAAAAAAGCTACTGGCGGTTCAAAAAAAACTGAGCCTAGAGTGTCGAGAGAGAAGAATGGGGACACTCTAGGCTCACTTGGTACCTTCTTGTCCGTGGCCTCGGCGGAAGTGTCCTCTAAAATAGCCTGCAGAGCCGTGTGCTGCAGGGGCCGAGGGCGCTGGACTGGACGAAATCGTCCAGGTAGAAGTGGCTTGTGACGAACGACGTGGCCTGATCCAGGGGCAGCGGCTCATTCCGCTCAAGGTAGCCCACCACCTGCTCAAAGCGCGGGCGCTGATTGAAGCCGTGGGCCCGAAGTGTCTTCATCTCTTTACCGTTGCGCAACTTCGTCCACCGCCCGTTCCACGCCCCGGCGCTCGGCGCGCGCGTAGCGCAGCTGGGGTACCTGGCGGTGTCAAGGGCGCCGTGCGGCTTGTGGAGTTGCGGCGTGTCAGCAAAGTCGTCGATGACTACAAGCACCTGGTACAGTTTCTTCAGACCAACTTCTTGGACGCTTCCGTGATCTTGCGCTGCTGCTGGATGATGCGCCGCAAGGCGGACTCATCCCACTCGTCCCAGTAAGCCTGCTCACGCTCCGTGTTCACCCCCAGGTCCTGCTCGATGTACTTCTTGACGGGGATCCAGCCATCATTGATGTTGACGCTTGGGCTGAAAACGTAGATCCGCTCCCAAACACAAGCCCTTATGAACTGCTACCCAGGCATGAGATACTGCTAGCGCCACAGTTTTGGCCCGAACTTGCAGGGCCCAAGGAAGATGCCGTGCATGGCACCAGGGGCAACAACGGGGAACCGCAGCGAAGTATACGTGGCCTATCTGCGGCTGCCCTAACCCAGCACCCCAGCAATGAATCCTGTTGCCGGCGCAGGATTGACGGAGACGCAATCCAAGGCTCACATGCAGCAAATGAGGCCAAGAGAATTCCAACCCAACCAACCTTCTGCTCTGAGTTACCGTGCCTTAGAAAAAGCACTTATCATGCTTTTCGAGCCACAAAGCTCCGCAACAGAAACGCACTTACAAGGCCAGAAACAGCGCTTTAAGCCCGGGCAACTTAAACTTCCAAGACGCACAGAATGCGACTAGGACCCGTTTTGCCTGCATATTGAAGCAAGCGGACTAACCTTGCAGAAGTGCAAGCAGAAGGGCTGTGACCGCACCGCGCAAAACCACCAAATTTTCGCAGAATCCACATTTGCTGAATGATAACCTCTGAAGATGCGCTGTGAGCGGTTTTAGATTTCACAAATAATAACAGAGCGGAAGGCCTCGCCCAACCGTCTCCAGCCTTGCGATTTCCGGCGCACATGTAGTATTGTTTTGCCCGGCGAAAAGGTCGGCCTTTTTTCTGTCACAGCCATTTTTGTTTTGAGCCCAGAACCGCGGTGAGAACGTCTTTTTTTTTGTATAACGGCCAGTGCCCAGTGCTCGGTCAGGAACGCGGCTCTGCAAAGAAGCGTGCTCTGCCAGGAAGGGAATGGGGGCGAGTCAGCTTCCGGGTTGGGTGAGTTGTCTTCTGCGGGGACTGGTCTTCTGCGGGGAATTGAGGCGAGTCAGCTTCCGGGTTGGGTGTGTTGTCTTCTGCGGGGAATTGAGGCGAGTCAGCTTCCGGGGGTGCGAAGGGGAATGGGGGTGAGTCAGCTTTGGAGTTGGGTGTTGTTGTTGTCTACTTTCTTTTTTTGGGGGCGGGGGTGAGTCAGCTTCCGGGGGTGCGAAGGGGAATGGGGGCGAGTCAGCTTTGGAGTTGGGTGTTGTTGTTGTCTACTTTCTTTTTTTTGGGGTGGGGACAAGCAGACGAAAGCTAAACCATACATAACAACATAAGACAAAAGAGTAGGGGAACCAGTGTGGGGAGGAGGAACGCACTGGCGCGAAACAGCAGTAGTGAGTAAGAACAACCGCACGCGGGGCGAGCGAACTCTCCGCGGCGAGTTGTCTTCTGCGGGGAATTGAGGCGAGTCAGCTTCCGGGGGTGCGAAGGGGGATGGGGGCGAGTCAGCTTTGGAGTTGGGTGTTGTTGTCTACTTTCTTTTTTTTGGGGGCGGGGGTGAGTCAGCTTCCGGAGGTGCGAAGGGGGGGTGGGGGCGAGTCAGCTTTGGAGTTGGGTGTTGTTGTTGTGGGTGAGTCAGCTTCCGGGGGGCGAAGGGGGGATGGGGGCGAGTCAGCTTTGGAGTTGGGTGTTGTTGTTGTCTACTTTCTTTTTTTGGGGGGCGGGGGCGAGTCAGCTTTGGAGTTGGTGTTGTTGTTGTCTACTTTCTTTTTTTGGGGGCGGGGGCGAGTCAGCTTTTCCGTTTGGCTTGCCCAACCTCGTTTGACACATGTCAGGAAGTGTGCTCTGTCAGGAAGTGTGCTCTGTCAGGAAGGGATTTTGTCAGGAAGGGAATTTTGTCAGGCAGGAATATTGCCAGGAAGGGATTTTGTCAGGCAGGGGTTTTGTCAGGCAGGAATTTTGTCAGGCAGGGGTTTTGTCAGGCAGGAATTTTGTCAGGAAGGGATTTTGTCAGGCAGGGGTTTTGTCAGGCAGGAATTTTGTCAGGCAGGGGTTTTGTCAGGCAGGAATTTTGTCAGGAAGGGATTTTGTCAAGCAGGAATTTTG